ACAATCCAAATTTCTTTGGGGGGCTTACTTTTTATCGGTAATATTTAAGATGTTGTGGATTACATGAGAAAATAAGCATATGTTGTTTAGCATAGTTCCTGGCTTATATTAACCACCCTGAAAATATTATCTCGTTATTTCTAAGCACACACATGACCCCTTTCATCTAAGTGATTTTGTTGATGGTACCCACAGTTCTTCCAGTGTCCCATGCACAAGGGTTGGTGTCCTCTTCCACCTCCCCTCTTCTCTTTCATGACTTCCTAGCAATCAGCACCGTGTGTGACTCTTCACACATCACAGACCAGCTGGAAAGAAGAGCTACTGGTTTAAATGCGTACGAATCTTCAGACTAAAATGCATTTGACTCTGCCATTTACCTAGCTCTGTGACTTCCAGTACAGGAACTGATCTATCAACTCAGTTCTCGTGTGTATAAATAGGGACTACTAACCGCATGTTTCCTCGTCTTGCTTTAAATCTGGGATGGGAGGATGGAGAATGCTGCACTATACCGTGCTCAGCCCATATTAAGTACTCGATAACGTGATGTTGGATGATGAAGAAGATGATGGTGAGATGCATAAGAGTTCCTTTAGCTTAGGTGAGAAAACAGCCCTTCTACTCTCCATCCGAATCCAAACTTTATCTATTTCTATCTGAACAGTGACAATGGATTCCTCTCTGGACCTCCAGCCTCTCGTTTCTTTCTGTTTCATTCTGCCCTGCACCTAACTTCAAGGTTAATCTTTCTTTTAAAAAATTGGATGATGCCTCTTCTCTTAAAAATGTTTAGCAGATCCCCAGTACTTATGAAACAGAATGTAAATACAATATGGAGGCAGTTAAGATGTGCATAATTTACCCTTACCTTCTTTTTCTAGCTGTACACCCATTGGTTTCCTACCACACTAGGATAGTGATTTACAGTGTATTCCTTGCACTTAACCTTCCAGTTGTCCTACCTACCTGACTTTCCTTGATCCCTCCTGTTGATCCTTCATTGTCTTAGCCTTAAATATAAGGTCTTCTTTTTTGATGAAGTCATTTGTTTATTTAGACGTATTTATTCAGAATTTATTTTGTGCCTGGCACTGTATGAGACACTGAAGTCAACAAGGAACCAGAGAGACAGTCCTTGCCCTCATGCTACTCTTCCTCTTTTTCGTGTGTGTGTGTGTGTTTCCTCTCTCCTTTGGCACACAGTAGATGCAGCTTTGGTTGGTGGATGCATGTGGTATCATCTTCAAGTATAACATAAAACCTTGCATGTGATTATGGCTCCAGAGACAATCAATCCAGTTTATGAAATGATTTTCCTATAGTGTATGGTCCACATTGACTACCTTCTGTTAGTCAGCCACATAGCCTGGCTTCAAAAATCCCATCAACTGAAAAAAAAAAAGTATAGTTAGACATTGGCCTCTGGGACAAAACTCAAAACAGAATTCTATATGTTAAAAAAAGGAATAATCTATATTGCTCTGTAAGTTACTGTATTGCAGTATTGTATATTATAACAGGGAAAATATTGATAGCCAGTTTCTTTTTAGTAGCATGTGGAAAATTAAATGCAGTCCTTTATAATAGAGCTATATAGCGTATCCAGAAGTTATTTTATTCAAACTTTATGCACTTTTACTTAAATAATATTCTTAATACAGATTAATTGTTCTGTCTTTTTTAAGTAGCAGGTGCACATTATGCATGTCCTATATATAGAAATTTGTGCTCACGTTTTTGACATTCAAAGGTGCCTTTATAATAGTATTTTTTTTAAAATTCTAGGTCTTTGAAATCAGTCACCAAGGAAACAGCAGAATAAGTTATACGTATTTCACTTAAACCTAAAATAGGAAATCTTGGTGTCACTTGTAAATATAATTACCTGGAGACGACTCCCCCAAATGACTTGGGTATTCCCAGGCCAGTTTGCTCTCAACACCAGTGTCCACAGAGGGCAAACACCTACTTCAGGCAAGAGCTCTGACTCACTTTTCTTGCTCTGTCTGACCTTGGGTACATAATTGTTTGGACTCTTGTTCTACAATAGCTGCAGAATAGTTTGAATCCAGGAAGAAAGGAAAAGGCAAATAAGAATAGTGTTAAGAGATTTATTTGGCTAAACTCATCCTTGGGAAAGCCTCCTGAATCCAGATAAAAGAGCAGAGTGCAAGATAACAGTGCGCAGGAGTGAAATGAAGCTTGGGAGTCCAAAGGGTACCAAGGGATTACGACATCTCAAAACATGGCGTACACAGTTCTACAACACTCCATCTGTACACCGTACTGTGTGTTCACGGTCCCAAGTCAAGTCTCTGTTCATCAACATTATCCCCCCTTTGCCTTCCTCCACCTCCCTTCACCTCCCCTCCTTCTGGCAGTCACCACACTGTTGTCTGTGTCCATGAGATTTTTCTCTCTTTTTCTTGTTCATTTCCTCCACCTCTCCCACCCAGCCCCTTAATCTCCCCCCTCCAGCAGCTGCCAACCTGCTCTTTATGAGTCTGTCTCTATGTTCATTGCAATATTACTTACAGTAGCCAAGATTTGGAAGCAGTCGAAGTATTCATCAGTAGATAAGTGAACAAAAAAGCTGTGGTTACATTTACACAATGGAATACTACTCAGCTGTAAAAGAGAAGGAAATCTTACCTTTGTGACAGCATGGATGGACCCGGAGAACATTATGCTAAGTGAAATAAGCCAGCAAGAGAAAGACAAGTACTGTATGATTTGTGTTAAAGAAGTTTTTTTTTAAAGATTTTATTTATTTATTTTTAGAGAGAGAAGAGAGAGAGAGAGAGAGAGAGAGAGAGAGAGAGAGAGAAAGAGAAACATCAATGTGCGGTTGCTGGGGGTTATGGCCTGCAACCCAGGAATGTACCCTGGCTGGGAGTCGAACCTGGGACACTTTGGTTCCCAGCCCGCACTCAATCCACTGAGCTACGCCAGCCAGGAGAAGTTTTCAATAATACTTGTTGAATTCATTTTAATTCTAAAATCAAAGAATGGTGCCCCTTAGAAGTCTCCCAGGCATACACTTTAATGAACTGGCATCACTTGCGAAACAAGCATGAAGGACAACTCCAGCATCTAATTGAGGGTGGAATAGTGGTGCGCAGTTTCATGACTGTAAGAGACAGACTTATTCTCCCAATCCCCTAACCTTCCCCTACCCCCTTTCCCTAGGGACACAGACAAAAAAGGCATAGTCCGCATAGCCCCAGAGCTCACGGGGTGGGTAGCAGAAATCCCAGGATCCCAGCATGGTCCTCAACGCTGAATATCAGGGGTCTTGAGGGAGAAACAGCTGCCAGAACATATGTGTGATCAGGAGGATTTCCTCTTGGTCCTGGACTGAAGCACGTCCATGCATAATACAGTACTCAGTTTTCTGAAAGGCTGCATGGCAGACTTCCTCTGGCATGTTACCATGTTTTTTCCATTGACTGACAGATTAGTGCTGAAATTTTTCTAACTTCCCTGTTCCTATGAAGCATTTAAGAATTTGTAAATCAAGACACATCCTCCTTTTTTTCTCTCTTCTTGCTACTGTCCCGATTCAGCCTTCATTCTTTATCCTCCACCTTAGCTAGTTCAGGAGGTGGGCTCCCCACCTCCACACTCTCCCGACTCTGCCACCAGAGTGACCCTGCCAGAGTGCTGCCAGGAACTTCAGCAGAGTCCCCATTGCTTACTGAAAAAAAAATTCCAAAATTCTAAGATGGGCATTCCAGGTTTCCCACAATTTGTCATTTCCAGGCAGCCTTTCCAACATTAGTGCCCGTAAACCATATCCTGAGTTGTAATTAATCAGCCCCCATTCTTACCACTAAATAGTTATTGCTGTGCTTCTATTTGTTGTAGCATAGCACCCGCCATTTCTTTCGGCCAGGATGTTTGACCTGTTTCTCCTGTTAACATCCTACTCACTCCTCAAGGTCAAGGTCAGTGCAGCTCTCTTCAGGGAGCCTTCCTTCCCCCATCAGAAGGAGAAGTCTTGTTTATACTTCTGAAACAACTGGTTTACTTTTTAAAGGCAGTTATCAAATAGATGATGATGATGAAGATGATGATATGGATAGAAGAGATAGAGGTTTTGTTTTTCCTTGAAACTAACATTTTTAATTTCAACATATTGTACCGAGCACAGTATATGGAAGGAAACCTAATGATACTGACTGAATGAATAAGTATAATTAACCCAGTATAACTAATCCTCACTTCTCACAGCTTATTCATTACATAATTCTCGGTCTTTATGTATCAGATTTTCTTGAAGTTGGGGCTCTTTCTGGGGTGACCATGAGGTCATTGCATAGGTGACTTCCTGATACAAAGACTAATGAAGTACCTGGTCTGTGCCAGGCCTGTGGTGGGTTCTGAGAAGCAAGTTGTAAATAAAAACAACACATCCCTGCTCTCACCGAGTTCACAGTTTCAGGGGGACCCCAGTTAAACAATAAGGGCACGCAGGAACCAGGGGGTGTTTCCAGGTGGAAAGGATGTGGCAGCTGAGACCTGAAGGAGTTCTAGAAGTGAGTCAGAGGACACTGTGTGTGCGGCTGGGTGTGAGGTGGGGGTGGAAGGGACGACCATGTGAGGAAGCCGGGCAGAGGACGGGGAAAATGAATAGAGCAGGAGAAGCCCTTATGGGAAGAGAGGAAGAACCAGCAAGGTAAAAGGCATTCCTTATGGTTAGAGTACGTGTGAGTGAAGTGGAGGCGATGAGGCAAGGACCATGGGCAGCTGCAGCTGGAAGAGCTCTCTGAGTTATGAACAACAAACCCGCAGGTCTTTGGAGGATAGGAAGCAGGACACCGACGTGATCTGACAGGCCCTTTGGAAAGGTCGCTGAAAATTCATGGGCAGCGTGGACGGGAGATGGTGGAGACAGGAGCCCTCGGAGGGGTCTCTTGCAGGCCGCCCAGACTACGGGTGACTGTCCAGCACTAGCCCAGGTCTCGGCCACTGCAGTAACCACTGTCTCTTCTCAGGGTGTCCAGGGCAGCAGCTGAGGAGACCTTGCCAAGGAACACCACACAGTAGATGCTGAAACATCGCACTCCAGGATAAGAAACAGTAACATGGCAGCACCCATGTGAGAGGAATCAAAGAGCAACAGACTCCATTTAGAAAGGAACAATGTCCAAGAAAGGGCGAAATAAGGGCGAGAAGCCCGAGGCGCTCATTGTCGCCCTTCAAGCTGCCAACGAAGACCTCAGGACCAAGCTCACCGACATCCAGATAGAGCTGCATCAGGAGAAGTCCAAGGTGAGTGGGGCCCCTGTGGCTGCAGCCTGGAGGGTAGCTTTGGCCCTGCTCTGCCTACCAGCCCCCTCCATGGCTCCTTTCTGCCTCTGCCTTTCTGTATGCATGGAGATGTTCTCCTGTGCAGCAGGAGGGATTTGAGCCCAGGTACACGCGGAAAGTGACAATGACAGGGTCACAAAGCCAATCTCTGCCTCTGCAGAAAGCCTGGTTCAGGAAACCAGATATTCATAATTGAGACAATGGCCCCCACCAGCACCACCTCCCCTGGACACTTGTAATAGTTGTGGACTTGGGCAAGTCCCCTCCCTCGCCTTCTAGAGGTTATTCCCGAAGTGGCATTTCGAGCAATGTTTCTAAAGTGTATCACATCCTGTCACTCAAAACCCTTCAGTGACTTCCTCTGCCTCTCAGAAGCACAGGGGTTTTCCTACCACCACAGGACATTCCCTGCAGCTCTCCCTTTAACTCAGCTCCCACCTCGGCCCACTGCACCCATCACTCTGCTCCAGCCTCTTGGAAGAACCAAGAGAGATGCCAGCCACAGCGAGGGCCTTTGCTCTTCCTGTTCCTCCCCAGTCAGCTTCTTGCTCTGCCCTTACCTTCTGCAGGTGACAGCTGCAGTCACTCATCCGACCACAGTCCCTAACACAGAACATGCCCAGTTACTCCCTGCAAGCTGGTGTTCTTGGTTCGCTTCGTAGAAGATTACATATTTATTTATTTACATGCTTAGTGCTTCTCTCTCCCCAGTCAGGTACAACCTCTGTGAAACAGAGACTTACTTTTCCTCTGTATTCCTAAAGCCCAGAGAAATATCCAGAACTGAATAGCTCAACATATGTTTTTGATTGAGTCAAAGCATGACTGAAAGATGATTTATTCCTTGTACCTTAGTTTCTTCTTCAGTAACACTGTACTATCTCATAGAGCTGTGATGAGGTTTAAGTTAGACAAGTACATAAAGTAGTTATGTGGATGAAAGGAGAAAATTCATGTCAAGTGCTCTGAGAGCTGCCTGGCACATAGTAAATTCTCAAAAAAATGGTAGTAATAGTAATATTCTTTCTAATATGCTCTTCACTGAGTTGGTTACTAACTAGGCTTAAGAGAGTCTCTTTACTTTTCTGAATTTCATGAATGGATTTGGTAACCCTTATCCCACCAGAGCCGTGTGGCTCTCAAGCAGGGTCATGGATAGGAAAACATTTGGAAATGTCCAACATGCAGTAATGCAGGTCTGTTCCCTGCACACTGGGTGCAGCCATGCCAACACTAAGTTGTATCTAGAAAATTCTTTGTGTAGTAGAAAATGTTTTTGATCAAACTATGGGTCATGAACCAACAAATACCCTTCTCTTATTTTATCTACCTCTTCTTCTTTGACATTACTATTAAATTTTAATTAGTTATCTTCCCCCAAATATAATAAATATTAGGCCACCCAAAGTCTTTTGTCTCCAGTCTCAGCAAAACTTTAACCTTGGATAAACAGACTCCAGTATAAAATTTGTGAAGGAAATTTTTTAGTTTCTATGAAGTTAAAAGGAACATGATGTTTTTTTAAAAAAATGTGTTTGTGAGTCAGAAGACCAAGGATTTTTTTGCCTCTTCTTGGGGACAGATTTAAGTATCGCTGCATCTCGATCTGTAATTCAGATGACTGAATCTGTTTCTCCATGTCCACATCTCTCCAACATCACTGTGCCTTAGAATGACCTGGGGGCACTTATTAAAAATTGAGACCCCTGGATGTTCGAAGGATTCTGACGGAATAGGTGGGGTGAAGACCAAGATTTACAGTTCCAACCAACCGTCCAGACAGTCCCCGCACAGGGGGCTCTGCGCCTTTGTCTTGACAAACGCTCCACTCTAGGATTCCTCCCCAGTTCGACAGTCTGTGTACGTTTCATTGGCTTTAAGTTTCCCTGGGGCGATGTAACTTCAAGGGAGCAGCCGCCTTTAATTGTAGTAATGACTGGATGACAAACTGCATTCACTGCATTTGTAGGCGGAAGCCTGTTGGCCCGGAGACAGGTAACCATAAACTGCTTCTGATTTACAGAGAACCAACTCAGGAGATTTCAGAGAGGCAGGGGCCCTGAGGGTCCCTCCACTGCCAATGTTCTACACATTCAAGTCTTTTGAAAGGCCTAAGCTGAGCCTGGACTCGGCTGTCTGTTTATCCAGGACCTGGCAGCGGAGTCTAAGTCGGGAAGGTCCGTGTGCTGTCCCCTTCCTCTGACAGGAGACTGGAAGGCAGCGTCCTGAATAAAAGCACTGCCCTATCCTCCCCCTCCAGGCTGCTTCCCTGTCTCCCTCTCCTTGGCAGTTAATTACAGTCCCTGCGCAGGGGCTCAAGCAGAGGCTCACGGCCTGTCAGCAGCCTTCCCCGAAGAACAAAGGGAATTTGGAGGGCAAGCAAGTCATAAAGCAGTTTTATTAAAATAAATAGAATTGTGTCTCCAAGGCTCAGGCGTTACGAGAGAGAATATGAACAATGCCCAGATGTGGATGCGCACTCTCGGTTTGGTTCCAAGACGGTGATAAAATGGCAGTTTGGCTCCTGGGGAATAGACTAGTTAGAGAGTGGAAACCTTCGGGGCGATGGGGCATTACTTATTTTTTCAGGAAGACAGATCATCCCAGTGACATTTCCCGAGCACGTTGTGTGGAGAGCGGAGTCATAAATGCTTTGGGCTGATGAGAGAAGTAGCTACACTTCACTGACTGTTTACTGTCTGTCATGCTGTAGTGAACGCATTTTCTCCTGGCATAATGCCAGCGCTTCCACTTAGCACCTGAGTGACCCTGAGCAGGTCATGAAATATTTTCCTTTCCTCGTCCACCAAATGGGAGAATAGTGGTGTCTACTTCATAAGGGGGGTGTGTGTGTTTGTTTTTGAGCAGTTAGTTTGTGGCCAGTATGTTAAGTATTTTAATTCATTATTGCATTTCCTCTTCACTACTACCCTCTGAGGTGGACACTGTTGTTATCCCCATTTAATAGATGAGGAAACTGAGGCTCAGGGAGGTAAAGCAATTCACCCAGAGTCACATGCTAGTAAGGGGCAGAGCTGGTTTCTCAACTCTCCTCCCTTCTTCACCAAAGCCTATGCTCTTTTTTATTTGACATATTTCCCCCCAGTTTCATTGAAATGTAATTGACATGTAACATCATACAAATTTAAGTTGTATAACAGAATGATTTGGTATGTGCATATATTGCAAAATGGTCACCACAATGAGTTAACATTCATCACCTCACATGGTTAATTTTTTCCTTGTGATGAGAACTTTTAAGATCTGTCTTTGCAACTTTCAAATGCACAGTACAGTATTACTAACTACAGTCATATGCTGTTCACTACATCTCCAGAAAGTATTTGTCATAACTGGAAGTTTGTGCCTTCCTATTCATGTAGGGATTCATGTAAGGGATCCATGTCCCTTACCTCCTACTTCCTACCCTCGGCAACCACAAATCTGACCCCTGTTTCTATGACTTTGGTTTTCCAGATTCCCCATATAAAGAGATTCTACAATATTTGTCTTCCTCTGTCTGTCTTATTTCACTTAGCATAATGCCTTTAAGGTTCATCCATGTTGTCACAGATTGCAGAATTTCCTTCCTTTTTCTGACTAAATAATATTCCATTGTATGCATTTACCACCTTTTCTTCATTCATCCTTCAATGGACACTTAGGTTGCTTCCATGTCTTGCAAAGCCCAAAGCCTTAAAAATGTGGAGGTCTGGAAAAACCCAAAAACCTAAGGCAGAGAACAAGAGAATATTAGAACTGTGTTTTCCACTATTAGGCAAATTTGAAATGGAGAAACCTCTTGGAGCATCCCCATGTCCTTCCCCCATAGATGTGTGCATTTCCACCACAGGGAAATGAAGCAAAAATATTAGACACAGTCAACTTGCGCTGAGTAGAAATTATCTAAAAAATTTGCCAAGCACTCCTAGGAATAAATATTCAGAGAAGTAGGTCATTTTCACCGCACTTCAGGCATAAGGACTCGGGGGTGGACCTCAGGAGGCTCTGTGGTGGGGAGGAAGGGCACAGTGTGGGACCTTTGTGCTGGATGACTGTGTCTTTCCCCGGCCCGCATTTTCGCATTTACAGAATAAGTGGACTGCATGAGATAGAAGAACTAAGGCCCTCCCGTAACTGCGGGCGTGCATCAGGAAAGGCGCATGCCTGCTCTAGCTCTTCTTCCATCCAGATAGTTTTCAGGACTCTTCAGCTATCAGGCCTCCTGACCACTGAGTCTAGGTAACACTCTTCCCCTATTTCCATTTGCTCTACCACATCATCCTGCTAGATTTTTAACATAGAACTGCGTGCTGTCTGCAGGTACCTTGTTTGTTTGTTTGTTTGTTTGTTTGCTTGCTTGTTGATTTCCTGCTGCCACACCCAATAACATGTGACCCTCTGTGGGTAAGAGACCGTGTCTGCTGAAGTTCCCCTAAATCAGTCTCCTAAGTCAGGTGTCATGGTGCTAATACTGCTGCCTGGCATGGAGGAGGTGCACAGTATTACTTGCTGAATGAATTTTCATGATCCCTTTAAAAACTTTCCCTTAGCGCCATGGCATCAAGTCCTGGCATAGTATTTACTTAGTGGGAAACCCCGGGCTCTGGGGGAGAGAGGATTTCCACGCAGGTCTGTTTTGTTCTCGGACCAGCACCCTGAGTCGTTAAGCTGTAGTGTTTTCCTCTGATCAACTCTGATTGGACCCTGGGAGGCTGCGATGCACTTGCGTGTGCTCACCTGGTGTGCTCACAAACCTGCTAAGGTTTGTGAGCACACCAGGAATTGCTGTGGGATGGGAAATCCAGCCCCACGATCCCCAGGGCTTCCCACCTAAGAGCAACCCATGGCTACAGGGAATGAAGGCTCAGTGGCAGAGAGCAGCGGGCCTGGGGTGCAGGGTCCAGGAGGAGGTAGCTCCAAACAGGAGTTTCCACCATGGGAATAGCCCTTCAGAGACT